CCAAACACAGACTTCAGCTTGTCACAACATGACACATTTCGACACATACCAAGATGTGTGGTCAACACGACATGACAGAGCAGATCATCTCAACACGACATGACAGAGCAGATCATCTCAACTGACTGAAACACAAGAAGATGCTCGGTATTGTTTGTGTGACTAGCAGCTTATGTGTGGCAGAGTGGTCTCGTGGTAAAGTGTGGGCCTCGAGTGCTGGAGATCCCGGGTTCAAGTAAAGGCTAGGAATTGTTTCACGTAAACTTTAGTAATTCCCCTGGTCTCTGGGCAGTACGATTGGGGGCCCGTTTATATCCTTGCGCACGTAAAAAAATCCCTTGGCATTTGGAAATCGAAAAGAGAAGCCTAACGGCACTGCCCGGGCACAAATTTAATGTTAAAAATCTACCCAAAATATTTCAGGATCCTCGCCGGTGGTACGGAGTTTGTGCACTGCGCTGAGATTTTTCAGACTCGGGCTTAAGTTAAAAGTAGAACAATAATAAACTATTTACTACAACCAGATCTCCTTAACAAACATTCCAAATGACCGGAAAAAGCTCCAGATTTCGCGTTAAAATAAAATGCAGACTAACCGGGGACTTATTCATAAATGTGAAAAATAATACTTGCCGGCCAAGACCGAGATCGTGTTCATGTTAACACAGAGTTCATCTGAAGCAGGTTCTTGGTAACTAGATTTTACTGTATTAAAACACGTACACTGGGTAAATGTTTACCAAGACAATCTATTTTCCTGCAATCGGATACAATCGAAACGCCATCTATGCAGCAATATTACACAGCCGCAAGTAAGCTTCACATCTCATTAACCAGTATCAAAACAAACACCACCACCCCCTCATCTTTTTTTTTCTACTCTAAAGGGAAATAAAAATATATGCCTAATAATTCAAATGGGTTATGCAGGATAACGCTTGTCAGCTTACTGTCACTAACATCAAGGGTGCGTAACTGTGCGCTGTTCACAAATATCTTAGGAGCAATTTATAAGATCAACACCGGAATATCTTAGGAACACTTAATAAGACCAGTCCACAAAAATCTAAATTACTCTTTATAAAGCCAGCTCACAAATATCTAAGGAACACTTTATAAGACCAGCTCACAAATATCCAAGGAACACTTTATAAGACCAGCTCACAAATATCTAAGGAACACTTTACAAGACCAGCTCACAAATATGTCAGGAACACTTTTTAAGACCAGCTCACAAATATCCAAGGAACACTTTATAAGACCAGCTCACAAATATCTAAGGAACACTTTACAAGACCAGCTCACAAATATCTAAGGAACACTTTATAAGACCAGCTCACAAATATCAAAGGAACACTTTTTAGGACCAGCTCACAAATATCAAAGGAACACTTTATACGACCGGCTCACAAATATCTAAGGAACTCTTTATAAGACCAGCTCACAAATATCCAAGGAACACTTTATAAGACCAGCTCACAAATATCTAAGGAACACTTTACAAGACCAGCTCACAAATATGTCAGGAACACTTTTTAAGACCAGCTCACAAATATCTAAGGAACACTTTATAAGACCAGCTCACAAATATCTAACCAACACTTTATAAGACCAGCTCACAAATATCTAAGGAACACTTTATAAGACCAGCTCACAAATATCTAACCAACACTTTATAAGACCAGCTCACAAATATCTAACCAACACTTTATAAGACCAGCTCACAAATATCTAACCAACACTTTATAAGACCAGCTCACAAATATCTAAGGAACACTTTATAAGACCAGCTCACAAATATCTAAGGAACACTTTATAAGACCAGCTCATAAATATCTAAGGAACTCTTTATAATACCAGCTCACAAATATCTAAGGAACACTTTATAAGGCCAGCTCACAAATATCTCAGGAACACTTTATAAGACCAGCTCACAAATATCAAAGGAACACTTTATACGACCGGCTCACAAATATCTAAGGAACACTTTATAAGACCAGCTCACAAATATCTAAGGAACACTTTATAAGGCCAGCTCACAAATATCAAAGGAACACTTTATACGACCGGCTCACAAAAATCTAAGGAACACTTTATAAGACCAGCTCACAAATATCAAAGGAACACTTTTTAGGACCAGCTCACAAATATCAAAGGAACACTTTATACGACCGGCTCACAAATATCTAAGGAACACTTTATAAGACCAGCTCACAAATATCCAAGGAACACTTTATAAGACCAGCTCACAAATATCTAAGGAACACTTTACAAGACCAGCTCACAAATATGTCAGGAACACTTTTTAAGACCAGCTCACAAATATCTAAGGAACACTTTATAAGACCAGCTCACAAATATCTAACCAACACTTTATAAGACCAGCTCACAAATATCTAAGGAACACTTTATAAGACCAGCTCACAAATATCTAACCAACACTTTATAAGACCAGCTCACAAATATCTAACCAACACTTTATAAGACCAGCTCACAAATATCTAACCAACACTTTATAAGACCAGCTCACAAATATCTAAGGAACACTTTATAAGACCAGCTCACAAATATCTAAGGAACACTTTATAAGACCAGCTCATAAATATCTAAGGAACTCTTTATAAGACCAGCTCACAAATATCTAAGGAACACTTTATAAGACCAGCTCACAAATATCTAAGGAACACTTTATAAGACCAGCTCACAAATATCTAAGGAACACTTTATAAGGCCAGCTCACAAATATCTAAGGAACACTTTATAAGACCAGCTCACAAATATCAAAGGAACACTTTATAAGACCAGCTCACAAATATCTAAGGAACACTTTATAAGACCAACACCAGAATATTCTAGGAACACTTTATAAGACCAGCTCACAAATATCTAAGGAACACTTTACAAGACCAGCTCACAAATATGTCAGGAACACTTTTTAAGACCAGCTAACAAATATCTAAGGAACACTTTATAAGACCAGCTCACAAATATCTAACCAACACTTTATAAGACCAGCTCACAAATATCTAAGGAACACTTTATAAGACCAGCTCACAAATATCTAACCAACACTTTATAAGACCAGCTCACAAATATCTAACCAACACTTTATAAGACCAGCTCACAAATATCTAACCAACACTTAATAAGACCAGCTCACAAATATCTAAGCAACACTTTATAAGACCAGCTCACAAATATCTAAGGAACACTTTATAAGACCAGCTCATAAATATCTAAGGAACACTTTATAAGACCAGCTTACAAATATCTAAGGAACACTTTATAAGACCAGCTCACAAATATCTCAGGAACACTTTATAAGACCAGCTCACAAATATCTCAGGAACACTTTATAAGACCAGCTCAAAAATATCGCAGGAACAGGGAATAGAGGTGGAGGCGGTAACGGCAGCTTTCCGACGGCAGAGCAGCAAAGTTCCACATGCTGTCACTGTAATGGACTCACAGAGCGTGCTTCGGGACATTGAAAGTGGGATCCTGCTGTCATCTCTCGAAAAGACACAAATCAAGAGCAGATCGTGGATTGTTTGTCCAGGATATTCAGGTGTGCCAGTAACGAGCACGCTGGAGATAAGCTGCTGCTACACCTCTGGGCGGTGAGCTATTATATGTTGAAGAAAGAACATGGTGAATATTCTCTGTGATCAGATGGACAGTGCAATAGAACAGACAGGGAACCATATGTTGACAGAATTCATTGGCGGAGGGAAAGGGTGGGTTACGTGGAAGGGGCGGGGCGGAGGGCAAGGGTGGGTTACGGAGAAGGGGCGGGGTGGAGGGAAAGGGTGGGTTACGGGGAAGGGGAGGGTCGGAGGGAAAGGGTGGGTTACGGGAAAGGGGAGGGTCGGAGGGAAAGGGTGGGTTACGGGGAAGGGGAGGGGCGGAGGGAAAGGGTGGGTTACGGGGAGGGGGAGGGAAAGGGTGGGTTACGGGGAAGGGGAGGGGCGGAGGGAAAGGGTGGGTTACGGGGAAGGGGAGGGGCGGAGGGAAAGGGTGGGTTACAGGAAGGGGCGGGTGGTGAGTAGTGGTTCTGGGAGATAATCAACACTGAGAGGAAACAGAGGCGGACTTTTAATCAGGTTGTAAGGGGTACCATTAGCTTGTCGACTCTTCGTTAGATTCTGAAGAAGGGAGTGGAGCACACACGGGATGTCCCTAGTGCAATGATGTCAATTCTTGATTGTTTCATATATAATTATGACAAGAAGGCAAGGCCTGATGTCAGAAGGCACAAGACAACACAAACATCAACACATCATTGCTTGTAGGACTGATGTCAGAAGGCACAAGACAACACAAACATCAACACATCATTGCTTGTAGGACTGATGTCAGAAGGCACAAGACAACACAAACATCAACACATCATTGCTTGTAGGACTGATGTCAGAAGGCACAAGACAACACAAACATCAACACATCATTGCTTGTAGGACTGATGTCAGAAGGACACATCATTGCTGACTGATGTCAGAATGCACAAGACAACACAAACATCAACAACATCAGTAAGGACTGACAAGGCAAAAGACAACACAAACATCAACACATCATTGCTTGTAGGACTGATGTCAGAAGACAACACAAACATCAACACATCACTTGTAGGACTGAGACAGAACACAAGAACACATCATCAACACATCATTGCTTTGTATGGACTTGAGGACTGATGTCAGAAGGCACAAGACAACACAAACATCAACACATCATTGCTTGTAGCACGGATGAGTTTCTTCCTTCATGCCAGCCACAGCAATTCAGGGGTCGGGGTGGGGCAGGGGCGGGGGCGGGGGGGGGGGTTGCAACAGAGGAATACTTGCAAAGATTCTATCTCTCCGTGTGTTCCTGATGTCATCTTGGGCGTCTCTTTGTTGCTGAGGTTGTATCCAATTACCTACGGAGACACTGCGGTACCCCGTGTGTCTCTATGCTACCCGTGGAATAAAACAGCTACAGGTTTTATGACGAACAAATCACTCACCTTTCTCATACCTGCTTTTCCCAAAATCCTCGGAAAGAATCCGGCTCATTCCAAACTTGAGATTTCCCTTGGCTTCCGGCGAAGAACTGGACCGGCCAGAACCGGCCGATGTCTTGGATGTGAAGGCGAGAGACATCAGACTGGCACAAGGCTTGCAGGGGAGCCAGGCCGCTGCCTAACGGTGGCGACCTGCTGAAGAAGTGATGATGATGATGCTGTTGTTGCTGCTGCTTCCTCAGCTGCTGCTGCTGCTGATGGTGATGAATGTGTGCGTGTAGATCAATGGCTCCTGTGTTGAGCAGTCCAGTGACGGAGTGTGTAGCAGGAGCTGTCAGCTGGGGGTTGACTCCGAACACGGAGAGCAGTTCGTCACCTGAACTCGGCGACAGTGCGCCTGTGGATTTGTGTAGAACATCGCCGCTAGGCAGTGAAAGCTGGGACTTCTTCAGACCCAGGACAAACCCCGCAGCCGTCAATGTGGACTCGGCGCTGGGCAGTCCGGCGAAACTGGCCGCCTGGGCCCAGTAGGTCAGGGTTGAGTGCGAGGGGAAGTAGCTGGCCGGAATGTATCCGTAAACATTCATGGTCTTCTCCCACAGATACAGACTTGGCTGGGCTGGTTCTCGCAGACAAGGTCTGTCACAGATGTAGACTTAGATGAGCCGTTCACTTGTGTTCATGTTTAACGCAGCGAGTTGAAATCTTCAAATGCGCAGTAGCACCAGTTGAGCCTGTGGCGTGTCAGCTGTTGGCAACACCCAGCTGATGGCATCCAATGAAGCCGCTTAGATGACTGATTCTGCACGATTACTGATCAGTTTATCTTGAGACATGGCATCTAGTTCAACCGGTTTTTTTTTTTCCAGCTCTACTGAACTCATTCATTCCACTGGTCTCGTTCAGTTCATCAATTCTCAATTTCTATAGTTCTTTCAGATCATCAAGTTCGTTAATAACTGTCGGCCTCATTTTGTTCCTTAGTTCCGTTGATTTCTTTCTTTCTTTCCCGTAGCATTGTTTAGTTCCTCACATCCGGAATGACAATATTTTAAAAGTGACACTGAAAAAAAAAACATGACAATATTTTGAAAGTGACACTGTAACAACAACAAAAAAGTAAAAGTATACAACGAACAGCTCAGTTAGATGTAATGTCCAAATATCGATATTAGTCATAATAATTCAACAATAACATATTTGTGGAATGCTGTCAGCTGACACAATGCTGAATATCGATTACACTTCCGAGTAGGTCACATCTGTCTTTTTAGTGGCTGGACGCCATCATGCGGGTCATGGGTTTGTGTCCTTGTGAAGCCGGACTTCTTTTCAAAAACGACCTCGACTCTTAAGTTGACCCAGTCTTGAGTGGGTACCAGGTGCGGTCCTGGAAAGAAAAGGCGGCCGGCGTGATGCTGACCACAGCAACTGCCCATTGGTCAATAACAAGAGAGGTCTCATCCTGTTTTCTCAATAATCATAAATGGCGGGGCAAATGGATCTTTATATGTGTCTGTGTGTGTGTGTCTGCGTGTGTGGGTCTGTGTGTGTGTCTGTGTGTGGGATTATCAAGTATCAGTAACATTACGTGTATGAGGGTGGCGTGTGGGGGGGGGGGGGGGGTATAAAGTATCAGTTACAGAATGTGTGTGAGTGTGTGTGTGTGTGTGGGGGGGGGGGGGAGTATCAAGTATCAGTTACATAATGTGTGTGTGTGGGGGGGGGGGTTTATCAAGTATCAGTTACATTAATGTGTTTGTGTGTAGGGGGGGGTATAATGTGTGTGTGTGTGTGGGGGGGGGGGGGTTACATAATGGGGTGGGGGGGGGGTATCAAGTATCAGTTACATAAGTGTGTGTGTGGGGGGGGGGGGTATCAAGTATCAGTTACATAATGTGTGTGTGGGGGGGGGGGGGGGGTTATCAAGTATCAGTTACATAATAATCAAGTATCAGTGTGTGTGTGTGAGGGGGGGGGGTATCAAGTATCAGTTACATAATGTGTGTGTGTGTGAGTGTGTGGGGGGGGGGTATCAAGTATCAGTTTATATGTGTGTGTGAGTGAGGGGGGGGGGGGTGTGTCATCAAGTATCAGTTACATAATGTGTGTGTGTGGGGGGGGGGGGGGTATCAAGTATCAGTTACATAATGTGTGTGTGTGAGGGGGGGGGTATCAAGTATCAGTTACATAATGTGTGTGTGAGGGGGGGGGGGGTAATCAAGTATCAGTTACATAATGTGTGTGTGGGGGGGGGGGGGGTTATCAAGTATCAGTTACATAATGTGTGTGTGTGGGGGGGGGGGGGGGGTAATCAAGTATCAGTTACATATGGTGTGTGTGGGGGGGGGTGTGTGTGTGGGGGGGGGGGGTATCAAGTATCAGTTACATAATGTGTGTGTGTGGTATCAAGTATCATTTTACATATGTGTGTGGGGGGGTGGGTATCAAGTATCAGTTACATAATGTGTGTGTGTGAGGGGGGGGGGGGTATCAAGTATCAGTTACATAATGTGTGTGTGTGGGGGGGGGGGTATCAAGTATCAGTTACATAATGTGTGTGTGTGGGGGGGGGTATCAAGTATCAGTTACATAATGTGTGTGTGTGTGGGGGGGGGGTATCAAGTATCAGTTACATAATGTGTGTGTGTGTGTGGGGGGGGGGGGGTATCAAGTATCAGTTACATAATGTGTGTGTGTGTGTGTGGGGGGGGGGGTATCAAGTATCAGTTACATAATGTGTGTGTGTGGGGGGGGGGGGTATCAAGTATCAGTTACATAATGTGTGTGTGTGGGGGGGGGTATCAAGTATCAGTTACATAATGTGTGTGTGTGTGTGTGTGTGGGGGGGGGGTATCAAGTATCAGTTACATAATGTGTGTGTGTGTGGGGGGGGGGTATCAAGGGTTACATAGTGTGTGTGTGTGTAAGGTATCAGTTATCAAGTATCAGTTACATCGTGTGTGTGTGTGGGGTGGAGGGGGGGGGGTATCAAGTATCAGTTACATAATGTGTGTGTGTTGGGGGGGGTATCAAGTATCAGTTAATGTGTGTGTGTGGGGGGGGGGGGTATCAAGTATCAGTTACATAATGTGTGTGTGTGGGAGGGGGGGGTATCAAGTATCAGTTACATAATGTGTGTGTGTGTGTGTGTATGGGGGGGGTATCAAGTATCAGTTACATGTGTGTGTGTGTGTGTGAGGGTGGGGGGTATATCAAGTATCAGTTACATAGGGTGTGTGTGTGTGTGTGTGGGGGGGGGGGGGTATCAAGTATCAGTTTCAAGTATCAGTTTACATAATGTGTGTGTGTGAGGGGTGGGGGGGTATCAAGTATCAGTTACATAATGTGTGTGTGTGTGGGGGGGGGGGGGTATCAAGTATCAGTTACATAATGTGTCGTGATGTGTGTGTGGTGGGGGGGGGGGTATCAAGTATCAGTTACATAATGTGTATGTGAGGGGGGTGGGGGTATAAAGTACCAGTTACAGAATGTGTGTGTGTGTGTGTGGGGGGGGGGGTTATCAAGTATCAGTTACATAATGTGTGTGTGTGTGGGGGGGGGGGAATCAAGTATCAGTTACATAATGTGTGTGTGTGGGGGGGGTATCAAGGGGGGGGTATCAAGTATCAGTTACATAAGTATCAGTGTGTGTGTGTGGGGGGGGGGGGGGGTATCAAGTATCAGTTACATGTGTGTGTGTGTGTGTGTGGGGGGGGGGGTATCAAGTATCAGTTACATAATGTGTGTGTGTGGGGGAGGGGGGGGGGGTATCAAGTATCAGTTACATAATGTGTGTGTGAGGGGGGGGGGTATCAAGTATCAGTTACATAATGTGTGTGTGTGGGGGGGGGGGGTATCAAGTATCAGTTACATAATGTGTGTGTGTGTGTGGGGGGGGGGGGTATCAAGTATCAGTTACATAATGTGTGTGTGTGTGGGGGGGGGGGTATCAAGTATCAGTTACATAATGTGTGTGTGTGGGGGGGGGTATCAAGTATCAGTTACATAATGTGTGTGTGTGTGTGGGGGGGGGGGTATCAAGTATCAGTTACATAATGTGTGAGTGTGTGTGTGTGTGGGGGGGGGGGGTATCAAGTATCAGTTACATAAATGTGTGTGGGGGGGGGGGTAATCAAGTATCAGTTACATAATGTGTGTGTGTTGTGTGTGTGGGGGTGGGGGGGGTATCAAGTATCAGTTACATAATGATGTGTGTGTGTGTGGGGGGGGGGTATCAAGTATCAGTTACATAATGTGTGTGTGTGGGGGGGGTATCAAGTATCAGTGTGTGTGTGTGTGTGGGGGGGGGTATCAAGTATCAGTTACATAATGTGTGTGTGTGTGTGTGTGGTGGGGGGGGGGGTATCAAGTATCAGTTACATAATGTGTGTGTGTGTGTGTGGGGGGGGGGGGTTTCAAGTATCAGTTACATATGTGTGTGTGTGTGTGGGGGGGGGGGTTTCAAGTATCAGTTACATAATGTGTGTGTGTGTGGGGGCTGGGTTTCAAGTATCAGTTACATAATGTGTGTGTGTGGGGGGGGGGGGTATCAAGTATCAGTTACATAATGTGTGTGTGGGGGGGTGTATCAGTTACATAATGTGTGTGTGGGGGGGGGTATCAAGTATCAGTTACATAATGTGTGTGTGTGTGTGTGGGGGGGGGGTATCAAGTATCAGTTACATAATGTGTGTGTGTGTGGGGGGGGGGGGTATCAAGTATCAGTTACATAATGTGTGTGTGTGTGTGAGGGGGGTATCAAGTATCAGTTACATAATGTGTGTGTGGGGGGGGGGGGGTATCAAGTATCAGTTACATAATGTGTGTGAGTGTGTGTGGGGGGTATCAAGTATCAGTTACATAATGTGTGTGTGTGTGGGGGGGGGGGGGGTATCAAGTATCAGTTACATAAATGTGTGTGTGTGGGGGGGGGGGGTATCAAGTATCAGTTACATAATGTGTGTGTGTGTGGAGGGGGGGGGTATCAAGCATCAGTTACATAATGTGTGTGTGTGAGGGGGGCGGGGGGTATCAAGTATCAGTTACATAATGTGTGTGTCTGTGTGGAGAGGGGGGGTATCAAGTATCAGTTACATAATGTGTGTGTTTGAGCGGGGGCGGGGGGTATCAAGTATCAGTTACATAATATGTGTGTGTAAAGAGGGGGGGGGGGTAATCAAGTATCAGTTACATAATGTGTGTGTGTGTGTGTGTGTGTGTGTGTGGGGGAGGGTATCATGTATCAGTTACATAATGTGTGTGTATGTGTGGGGGGGGGGGGTATCAAGTATCAGTTACATAATGTGTGTGTGTGTGTGTGGGGGGGGGGTAATCAAGTATCAGTTACATAATGTGTGTGTGTGTGTGTGTGTGGGGGATGGGGGTATCAAGTATCAGTTACATAATGTGTGTGTGTGGGGGGGGGGAGTATCAAGTATCAGTTACATAATGTGTGTGTGTGTGTGGGGGGGGGGGTATCAAGTATCAGTTACATAATGTGTGTGTGTGTGGGGGGGGGGTATTAAGTATCAGTTACATAATGTGTGTGTGTGTGTGGGGGGGGGGGTATCAAGTATCAGTTACA